GACATGAACCTTGAATGGGAGCAAACACTTTTGTCAAATATATGAACTTAATAAAACTGGTTCCACTACAGTAGTAAATGCAAGTCAGTTGTTTTATCTTTGTATTAACGCTCGGGCGGACAGACTCACCTGTCGTCATCTGACTCCGTGCTGGACCTCAGATTGTCCAAACTTCTGTTACACGTATCGAAAGCCGCCTGGAAATCTCTTTGGATCACCATCTGTTCTGCAGCCACTTCCAACATGTCGTTCATTTGTAGAAAGAAAAGACGGAACTACATCCAAAAGATAACGCAGAAAATAACGACAAATGTTTATTTACATTACAAATGGAAACTGTTTTATATTTTAGTCAGAAATCAAAGAAATCACCTGGGTTAAATCTACCTTGAACCTCTGTTTACGACCAGCTTCCGCCTCTGTCTTTTACGTGTCATTTACGCTACAGCCAATCAGAAGTCGCGTTGCTAAAACACTGTACAGAAACCAATGGTCTTCAAGCTTTTTCCAGGATGCGTCACTTCACTTGTTTTCTCCTACCGTAAACACGTGTGCGCAGCGCTTTGCCGAATTAAACCCAATTTTATTAAAGTAAGTGACATTAATTCTCTAAACTTTACTGTATTTTATAGTAACATAAGGGAGCACGTCGCGTCATCTCGAAAGTCGTTTTTCATCGTGAGAGCAACGGTACCTTTAGCAGCTAAGAAGCTAACGAACTTTAGCTTGATATATTATGGATTTCTCTACAGCTTATATCTTCACAAACTGCAACTTATGAAGACAAGTATATAGTTACTTATATCTTATGAAGAAAACGTATTTAGATGTGGACATTTGCATTTAACCGTTATTTTAAAGAGCACCTGAAGCTATTACACGAGTTAGCAGCTATTGCTACTAATCAGACATTTCAAGGATATTACAGCTTTGTATAGAAGGAAACCTAAATCACATGATTTTGTTTATAGTTGTCATGGTTATAAACACAGGGTCGGTGTCATGAGTTTCTGGTGTCTGACAACTAGGGATATTTTTGTCGTCATTTCAGCTTAGATAATAGACCGTATACCATAAATACTGTGTTTTGTCATTCTTATTTAATTATGCAGCTTATTTTTACTTTATATGTTAAATTGGCTGCTTATTTTTACTTTATATGTTAAATTGATCAGTCCAGTAAAAATGAGGAATTAATGCTTCAGTCATTTATAATAATCAGAGATTGACTAAAATTTGAAGAAATTGTTAAATACACACATTTGATATGTTCAGTAATCAAACATCCCATGTATATGTTCAGCTTAATAACAGCGAGTTCTTCCTCAGAGCTTTCCCAAAATGGCCAAAAGTCTGCGGAGCAAGTGGAGGCGGAAGATGCGAGCAGAGAAGAGGAAGAAGAACGCTCCTAAAGAACTGGCTCGTTTGAAACAAGCTCTGAGTCTGGACAAGAAGGGAGAAGCTGTCATGGAAGACCTTCAGGAAATCGCCACAGTGGTGTCAGCAGAGAAGATCAAGAAGCAGACAGATGTGAATATGACAGAAGCAGATGTTGAAGGTGAGTAAGGAATCCCATTGTTCAGTATGAGATGTAAAGCTTAAACACATTTGTTTGTATTTTTAAATCCACAACTTGTTTGTGTTTTGTGTCACAGAAGGAAACATGGACCTCGATGGCAAGCGCAACAAGAAAACTCAGCTGGATGAAAACGGACAGTATCCTGTTTGGATGAGTCAAAGGCAGGCGAAGAAACTGAAGGGCAAACGGATAGTGAAGAAGAGTGGCAAGGCCAAGAAGAAGAAGGGCATGGCCTGGTGAGGTGGAGGGAAACTAAGAGACATTTAATGGCTTTTTAAAGACTTCTGATGCAGAAACGCAGTTTCAACTGTGTCTTCTGTGAGTGGATCTCGGTGGATTACAAGACTGGTGGTTTTGCCGCAGTATCTGTTGTTGTGACGTGATTCACTGCTGAAAGGGGGGCCTTTAAACAACATAGGACCAGTGTCTGCCTTCTGCTTGTTTTGATACATCATAGAAAAGTATGTGATCGTCATATATCCCCATCATATAAGATGGGGATGTCATAT